TTTCATGACATTTGCTCCTTCAAAAAGTAGACCATGATTCCCCCTCTTTGAGAGTGGAGTGGACTCAAACAATCATTTCTAATAAACAGAATATGGCAAAAGTGATAGTGTGATTTCCAAGACTCAGTTATGGAAGGCACTGAAGCCTCTTCCTTTCTCTCTTGAGTCACTCAACCTGAGGGAAGCAGCTGTCCATGTCATGAAGACATTGAAGCAACTCTAAGGACAGGTACATGTGGAAAGCAACTGAGTTCTCCTACAGATAGCCAACAAGAGGTCTTCAGCCAAGAGTCATGTGTTATGGGTTAAATTGTGTCCTCCCCCACCCCTACAAAAGATTAGGTGGAGTCTTAACTTAGGTACCACACTACCTAAAAATATGACCTTATCTAAAATAAGGTCTAAAATAAAATACCTCTTACAGAGGTAATCAAGTTAGAATAAAGTCGTTAAGACGAGCCCTAATCCAATATGACTGATGTCCTTATAAAAAAGGGAAGAGACATGCACACAGGGAGAACGCTATGTGGAGATGAAGGCAGAGATCAGGACAAGGCAAGCACAAACATCAGACTGCCAACAGACTACGGTGAGCTAGGAGAGAGGTATGGTATAGATTCTTCCCCCAGTTCTCCGAAAGAACCACCCTGCCAACATCTTGATCTTTCACGTCTAGCCTCCAGAACAGAGATGGTACATTTCTGCTGCTCTAAGCCATCAAGTCTGAGGCCCTTTGTTCCAGCAGACCTAGGAAAATAACACAACATGTGAATGAACCACTTTGGAAGCAGATCATCGAGTTCCAGACAAGCTTTTAGATGAGTGCAGCCCTAATCGTTATCTTCACCTCTACTTCTTGGGACCACCCTAGCTGGAACTGACTGCTAAGGGGCTGCTGAATTCCTGAGCCACAGAAATTAAGAGATAAGTGTCTGCTGTTTTAACTGTTATTATGGACTGAACTGTGTCCCCACCCTATATTCAGATGTTGAAGCTCTAACCCCTCAAGTGACTGTGTTTGGAGGCAGAACCTTTAAAGAGGTAAGTAAGATTAAATGAGACTGTTAGGATGGGGCCTTAATCCAATATGATGGGTGTCCTTATAATAAGAGGAAGATGGGGCACCTGGGTGGCTCAGTGGGTTAAGCCTCTGCCTTCAGCTCAGGTCATGATCTCAGGGTCCTGGGATCGAGCCCCGCATCGGGCTCTCTACTCAGCAGTGAGACTGCTTCCTCCTCTCTCTGCCTGCCTCTCTGCCTACTTGTGATCTCTCTCTCTCTGTCAAATAAATAAATAAATAAAATCTTAAAAAAAAAAAAAAGAAGAAGAGGAAGAAACTGGGGTGCCTGGATGACTTAGTCATTAACCATCTGCTTTCTGTTCAGGTCATGATCCCAGGGTCCTGGTATTGAGCCCCACATCAGGCTCCCTATTCAGCGGGAAGCCTGCTTTTCCCTCTCTCACTGCCCCTGGTTGTGTTCCCTCTCTCACTGTCTCTCCATCTGTCAAAGAAATAAATAAAATCTTAAAAAAAGAAGAAGAAGAGGAGGAGGAGCAATAAACACCAGGGATGGGCACACACAAAGAAAAGGCCATGTGAGGACAGAGGGAGAGGAGAAACACACCCTGCTGACATCTTGACCTTGGACTTCCAGCCTCCAGAACTGTGAAAAAATAATGTTCTGTTGTTTAAGCCACTCAACCTATGGTATTTTGTTCTGGAAACCCCAGAAGAATAATACAGCTGGTAAGTTTGGGGATAACTCATCACACAACAATAGATAATAATATACTTTCCCACACCAGCGCCCCCAAACACACGCATTTTCCATCTCTATTTATCACCCAAAATTGTCTCAACAGTCTAGCCCCAAAGTATGCAAATTAGAAACGTCAGCAACATTTCTTTGAACAGATTTGGTATTTTGAAACTTGATTCTCTCACAGATTATGGAAAAGGCTCTGTGCTAAATCTGTCAGGTGAGGAACAAGACTTCCCATAATGACCTTTAACCTTTAAGTGAAAGTAGTAAAAGATGACAATTAGCCTATGTGTGACCCTGTTTGATTTTAGACTATGAGCATGACCCAGATCATAATAGGAAGCTTATACTTCTAACCCAATGGGAAACTTGTGTCCATTGGAAAGAACCACTACCTTCTCTCTGCTTTCCTTAGCAGCTTGTATATCAGTTAAGGATGTTGAATTATATGAAAATGCTAACCCCTCAACCAGCAAACACTTGCTCTTCCAGACTTGTCTTATATTTTTAAATTTATTACAGTTCCTAGCACAGAGCAAGCACTCAGTAAATGTTTAGAGAATAACTGGGTCCAGAAGAACTGTGCCCTTTAATTCTATCCATAGGCAGTCCTATGCCAAGACTTTAAAAAGGCAGCACTGAGATGTGAACCTTGCTCTTTCGTCTCACTCCCGCGGGAGAATTCCTTCTACAGTCACTCCCGACAAATTCAAAGTCTGGTCTGTTTGATTTCTTTGGCATCTATTTCCAGCTTCTGATTGTCAGGTAAGCCCCTAACTTAACTTAACTCTTGCCTGACCCTTTCCCATCACAGTAACCATTTTCTGCCTTGAGTTTTCTGAACATAATCCTACAGTCCTGTACGTTCCCTTTATACCTCCCTCAAAGGGCAGTTCTCTGCCCTTGTACCTGGCCTTAATCATCACCCCACTTATTTCAATCAGCACCCTCAGCCATCTCCCCTATCCAACTCCAGGGCAGCACCCTCCCCCTCAAAAAAATCAGCAAAGTGTTTAAGGTTGAGAACCTGTATCTTATGACTTAATGGCCTTAAATCTCTTTAGTTCAGGTTCCAGGAACTGTATTCTACTAATGGGGAGAGTATGGGGGTGGGGGGGGGGCTAGTTCTGCACTGTTCTTTTTAAAGATTTTATTTATTTATTTGACAGAGAGAGAGAGAGATCACAAGTAGGCAGAGCAGCAGGCAGAGAGAGAGGGAGAAGCAGACTCCCTGCTGAGCTGAGAGCCCCATGCGGGGCTCAATCCCAGGATCTGGAGACCATGACCTGAGCCAAAGGCAGAGGCTTAACCCACTGAGCCACCCAGGCACCCCATTAAGGTCTATATAATAGATACTATAAGAATCATAGAACTGTGCATGCACGTGGTTGCAAAAATTCATCTTGAATGTTTTCTTAGCCCAAAACTCCAAACTGTTTTTACCCTTTCCTACTACCAAAGGGAAGTTCAGGTTTCTGTTAAGCATCTGAGGGAACCACACTTATTGGAGCCAAAAAGAAGCTGCAGTCTCCAGTAACACCAATATTTCTAGTTGCATTTCATACGCAACCCAGATCTATACTTTATTTGGATGTATTTAGAGCTCCTCCAGCTAATTTCTAGAAACATTCAGGGGCAAGCCTTTTTAAAATAAACAATCTCAAAAAGATCCTTAAGGTATTCATGAATTAACTAAGGACACAACTTGCCTTAAGAGTTGCCAAGTAGTTTCTCCAGCCAAAAATTTTTAGAGGCTGAGTATTTATATAAAAACATTGTAACCACTCATAATAAGAGCTAACATGTATTAAGTGCTTTTACAAATGTGCAGGTGCTGTGCCCATGTGCTTAATATGGAGTCTCTGGTTTAATCCTGCTGACAGCTCTGTGAGAAAACTCATGCACAAAAAAGTAACTTGTCCAAAGACACGCAGCTGGTAAACCATCAGATGGGATTTACTAATACCAGAAATACCCTTCTGGTATTTAGCTGCCAGCATAAAGATTCCACTGCATTATCTCAACCTTTTGTTGCCAGGACCATGATAAGGATAGAAGTGACTACTGGACTAATCTATTTCTGTCTAGAAGGGAGCCCTCTGACAATATGTCAAAACTCATCCAGAATGTATTCAATAAATGTTTACTGAATGAATGAAGCCAGTTTAGAATTTGTTAAAAATAAGTAACTCTCCCATATATCCACCTAGGAATAAAAAAGAGAGGGGCTGTCTCAAAATCTTCTCCCATTGAGAGCTCACAGGGAAAACTGTGTTAGTGACCCCAAGAGATTAATCTAAGTCCTACATCTAACTGAAGTCCATAATGAATAGTCAGAAAATCCAAGGGGAGGAAACACAGTAAAATTTGAGGAGACCCTCAGAGCGATTCTTCCAAAATTTGTTTCAACACTCCCCTCCTCGTTCTAAAATGTTCAGATCTTGGACAAAGTATCGTTGCAAATCATCTGGGTCGCCTGGGTGACTTCCTGGGATAGTGCTATAGGTACTTTAGGAAAGGTCAGTATGAAACACAACAGTGTTTTATGGGGTGAAACGCACCAGCTCCTTCGCCAGAGGACTCCAGGTAACCACAAGCTGCACGGAATTGTGCGTACCAGACCAAACGCAGTTTAGGAAGCCTGCTGCAGTAGACGAAAGCAGCCACCAGATGGCACTCAAGGACTAGGCTCGGAGACTTCCGGGGCATGCCCCTCTCCTCCCCCCTGCCCCCGGCAACTAGCCCTTCCGCGAGATCCCAGGCCGGCGTCCACGCCAACCCGACCTCTCTTGCGGTGACTCCCACCTGCGAGGTCAAGAGTCGGGCACGCTTTGAATGGACTCAGGCTCTGGCCCTGGACTGCAAAAGCCTCGCGGCCGGCCATCACCCTGCTCGCCCTGCGCGGTGGACGCTGACCCGCGGTGGGGAGGTGCGCAGGGCGGGCGGTCATAGGCTGAGGCGCGGGGCGGGAGCGGGCGAGGCGGGCCCCCAGCGAGGCGGGCCCCCAGCGAGGCGGGCCCCCAGCGAGGCGGGCCCCCAGCGAGGCGGGCCCCCAGCGAGGCGGGCCCTGCACCGCCCCCAGCCTAGGCGGCCGCCCGAGGGTGCGAAGTGCGGGCCGCGAGCGCGAGCGACGCTGCGTCTGCGGAGCCCCGTGCCGGTGTGCCAGCCGCCCCGGGCCCGCTCGGGACCTACACGCGGCGCGCAGCCTCCAGCCCAGGAGTTTCGACGGCGGGGTGGGTCCAAGCGAGTGGCGGTTCCAGAGTTCGGAGGCACTACTGGACGCGGCTATTTCGTTTTTCTGGTTTTCAGCTAGTATCAGAGACATGAACTACGCACGGTTCCTCACCGCCACGAGCGCAGCGAGAATGCCTTCTGCCATCCGAGTCGCGAGTGAGTCCTGGGCCCGCGCCCCTCCTCCGGGGGTGGGGGGTGCCTCGCAGAGGCTCCCGCGGCGGTGCCCTTCCGCGCCCCTGAAACAGGGACTCACTTTGTTCCTGAGAACTGGGCTGGAACAGAAGGCGGGGGAATCGGGTATCTCTGCTCGGGTGTAGCCGGAGCAGCATTAGAGACACGGGCTGTTGGAGGACGCCTCCTTGGAAGAGAGAGGGTGTGCCCTCTAGAAAGCCTCTTCCTGCAGGGGTGAGTAGGTGTTAGGCACAATAGGCAGATGCGCGCGGCGTGGAGCGGGCCTGGGAAACCTAAGAGCAACGAGAAAGCCCTGAAGCCTAACGCGCAGGTGGGCGCTAAATGGAAGAGAGGAGGGTTTTCTGTCACTGCTTAACTTGGCTTAACTTGCTCGTTGCTCTGCCTTAGTTGGACATCTCCATTCTTTAGTTCCTCCGCCAGTGAGGTAGGTGCAGAAAAAAGTAATTTTACGTGTTTATTTTAGACTAATATTTTAAAATAGAATTTCTTAAAGTAGAAATTGTTCAGCTTTACAGTTTCATTGATCATAATGCAATATATTGAGCTACCTCTGTTTATAAAAGTCTTCAATGAAAGCGTTTCCTCTTCTCTTCTGTATGTATTATAGCTGAGATACTGATAAAGGCACCGAAGTCAGTCATCTCCTTGGCTACTGGATCACCAAACTCCAACACGTTCCCTTTTAAGACTGCTGTTATCACCATAAAAAATGGAAAGCCCATCCAATTTGATGAAGAGATGATGAAGAGAGCACTTCAGTATTCTCAAAGTGCTGGGTAGTTATCAAAAGAGAACATAATTTTGTTGGTTCATTTTCATGAGCAACATCCTAATGCCCACTGATAAAGTAACGTGTCATTTTTAACTGGGTATTCCACAGGTAGGAAGGTTTGGGGCAGAGTTTTCAAAGATTAATTAAGAGCAACAGGTTTATTAAATGCTTCCTCCTCAATGACTGCTTGACTTTAAATAATGGGGAGACTCAGAGAAGGCTTGTCAAAGGAAATACCATTGGAGCTGAGACTGGAAAAAAAAAATTGAGGTAGCTAAGGGAAGAGAAGCAGGTTACGAGGAAGGAGGAAAAGGACAATCCGGGAAGCAGCAGTTCTGGGAGAAATTTTGTAATTATTGTGTTCCCTTAATAGTTGCAGACCCCGGGCGCCTGGGTGACTCAGTGGGTTAAGCCTCTGCCTTCAGCTCAGGTCATGATCCCAGGGTCCTGAGATCGAGCCCCACATCGGGCTCTCTGCTCCGCAGGGAGCCTGCCTCCACCTCTCTCTGCCTGCCTCTCTGCCTACTTGTGATCTCTGTCTGTCAAATAAATAAATAAAATCTTTAAAAAAAAATAGTTGCAGACCCCTTATGCAAAAACTTTGCCCTCTGTTCAGATGTCTTTAATATTTTCTAAGATTTTATTTATTTGAGAGAGAGAAGGAGAGACAGAGAAAGAAAACAAGTGGGGAGAGGGGCAGAGGGAGAGGGAGAAGCCAGCTGCCCACTGAGCAGAGCCCAACCAGGGCTGGATCCCAGGACCCCAGGATCAGGACCTGAGCTGAAGGCAGATGCTTAACGAACTGAGCCACCCGGGTGCCCCCAGATGTCTTTAATTTCTTAAAAGCAAGCTGAAACACATGCTTTATGACTTTCCTTAGCTGATCTTCTTCCAATGATAAAGGGTAATGTATGGAGTGTCTACAAATTAAATTATACTTTATTAAAGTCTTCTTTGTTCTGTGAAAGAAAAGTATATTGAAACATTATTTATATATGAATTATATGTAATTTGTACAATAGGCCTTTCTTTCCATGATACAAAGATCTTGAGACTGAACTTCTAGGTAGCCTAGGGAAATTTTCCTAGAACAAAGAATAGATTTTGCAGTGAGTACTCTAGTGTACAAGAAAGAGAAGAGGCTTTGTAATAAGACAGATGTAGATTCATATCTCAGCTCATTTAATCTGAGCTGATTGACTATATGTGAATTTCTTAATCTCTAAGTCTGTTGCCTTGTCTTTTAAATAGGGTTATTAATATTGGCAAAAAGCATTTGAGGATTTTTAAATTGAATGAATAAAGTTCCTGGCATAAAGCTACCATTTAATTCTTGACTATAATTATTATGTTTTTTAATACTATAAATTTGAAAGTACGTTTTATGCTTTAGAATTCCAGAGCTGTTGTCCTGGCTAAAACAGTTACAAGTAAAATTACATAATCCTCCCACCATCAAATATCCAACCAGTCAAGGAGAGATGGACATATGCATAACAACTGGCAGCCAAGATGGTCTTTGCAAGGTAAGACTGAAAGGAAAAGGAACCCCACATTAAGAATTAAATATGTTCATAAATATAGTCATTTCTCACCTAAACATAAGAGGGTCATGTTTAATGAGTTACTGGTAGTCTATCTTGTCTTTACGTAGAATTTTAAGGGGAACTTAAAGACATTCACCAATCGGATTTTTCTGAAGTGTAGATCATGTGGTTAATGTCCCAGAACTATGAGTCATTAAAACAAGATTCCCATTAAGGAAGTACTCAAGTCCTACCAGAAGCTTAATGAGCACTGCTTAATGTCATCTGGCTCAGAGATTCAGGTTACATTTTGATGTATGTAGTTATGAAGTTTCACTAGGATTTTTAAAAATTTTTTTAGAAGGTGTATCCTGATACTCCTGAGAGGAAATGTTATTCCTTTGGCTGCCTGCTTAGTTCAACACCTGTGCTCACCACTGCTTACATCTGGTCTCCTCGGATGTGCTTTTGTAGATCTAGGTCTATGTCTGTCCCTGACGTCTCTCTAGGTTGGTTCTGTTATCTCCACACCCCACCCAACCTCCCCAGTTCCCTTTCTCTCTCTCTTATTCCATCTGCCTCTCTCCTGGGTTCCAGCAAGCCCACAGATGTATAACCACCCCTGGGGAGTTCTCACGAAAGACAGCATCAGTGGTTCTCAGTCTCTTCTGTTTCTTTTTTCTTTTCCTTTTCATCAATAATTAGTCCCAGGTAAAGATTCTCTATATTCAGTCTTCACATCTAGACTAAAAAGGACTCTTATTTATGTTAAACCAGAGTAGCTTTGTTTTTCTTTTTAGGAAAATGTAAAAGCTGCAATCTAGTTAGCTTTAGTGAATTTTAAATTATTTTTACAGAATAATGTATTGAAGTAATAAGAATATAATTTTTCCTCCCTCTTTTTGTATTTAATTGGAGAAAAAGGGGGAATTAGCTATTGTTTGAGTGCTTGAAGACAAACATTTGTGATTCTATAGATTAATATGAAAAAAGTTCTTTTCAATTAAATTCTTTTTTAAGAAGGTATACTATGAACTTTTCTCTCAGAACGATGCCCAAGACGATTTTTTCATTATCTGTCATAACATCAATCATAACAAAGGAAGATAGCATAGGTGGCCAGAAATACCAATAACTCACTTACTTACAGACATGCTTATTACGGAGGCCTTCATGGGAATCTGGTCTACTATTCTTTCCACTTTGTTCTCTAAGATAGATGTTACGTTAGGCACCTGTGTCTCTGTCTACCTCTATTAAACAGTGCTACCAGATAATAAACAATCGTTCTTTTCATTTAGAATACTTGACATTTTCATGTTCCCCAATTGACATGGAAAATATATGTGATTAGATTTTCGTTTCATTTATTGACAACACACATGCCACCCAAGTAATTTGTTTGGTCCTAGGATGTCCTCTAAAGCCTGAATCACTTAGAAACGTTTCAGAGGAGGATGCTGCTTGTCATAAAATGCCAAAAGCTCATAAGGAAAAGGTGAAGGGAACATTATAGGCCAAATCGGAAACAAAAGCCAGAATGTCTATCTTAGTTGATAATGCCCATACTGTTTGTCATGAGATACAAGTTGTTAAAATGATAGGAAGGAGAGGCTTGAACTGAAGATTGTGACACACCACAAGGAAAGAAAAGATGATGCCATCAATTATGTAAGATTTCGTTATAATGGACCCCCCCTTTGATTTAGGAGAGAAGTATCTATTGTCTAGATCATATTGTCTGCAAAATCTCTTAAGATTTGTGGAGCCTATCTTATCTAACTTCTAAATATGCTTTCACATTATTGATCTTACCATCCTTTCTGAAACACTCTTCTCTGGTTCTCAGAATACCTCATTGGCCCAGTTTGCCCTGCCTTTGCAGTGTCCTTCTCCTCTGCACATCCATCATTTATCAGAGTTCCTCAAGGCTCCATCCTCAAAACTCTTCTCCTCTGAACCCACGAACTCTCCCTGGGTGTCTCCATTCACACCCATGTGCTTGATCCTATGCTAGTAACTTCCAAGCTCCTTCCAAATCCATGTGTCCCATCTGTCTAACTGGTGCCATGACAGAATGTTTTAAAGGCATCTCAAACCAAAACACCCTCCTCACCTTGTTCCTCTCTCTGAGAGTTTGTGGTTCTGTTTTTCAGTAAACAGCATCATTCCCTCCATCTGTCTAGCTCTGTGGCCAGAAGTCTAAGAGTCATTCTTCATGCCTCCCCTTCATCACTCCCCTGTAATCCATAATTGTGTTCTGTTGGTTTGGATTTCCTAAATATTTCTCAGTTCTCCTCTCTAGTTCCATCATCACTGTCTGTCAGGCTATATACCCATATCTCTCCCCAAAATTGCAGCAGGAAGGTCCCAGATAATCCTCAGGCTTCCTAGACCTTCCACATACATTCCCACTCACCTTTCATTCTTTCATAATGAAGCCAGAATGAGCTTCCCAACATGAATATCTGATAATCTGATTCCCCCTTCCCAGCCTCTACCTGATATTCTTACTCGCCTCATGCGGCTTAAACGTCTACCTGGTGTTTCTCTGCCTACTTCTGTCTGATCTCACTCCACCCTCCTCTTTACATTTCCTCTTCAAGCCACTGAATTCTTTCAGTTTCTCAAAATGTACCTATTGTGATCCTCTATACCAACTCATCACTTCTCAAGGAAGCCTTCCTGGATCCCCCAAAGTCCCCAAATGCCCAAGCCCTCCTACAATGAGCCCTTAAAACCTCTGCATCTATACTTAACAGCACTTGTCATTGTTTTAAAATATACACTTAATTGAGTAATTATTTGGTTAGTGTCTAGCTTTCCCATTGGACGAGTAGCTCCATGAGGATAAGAACCAAGTTGCTATGCTCGTCATTTTGTCTCCATACCGTACACAGGCTTGATTTACAGTAAATATTCAATGCATTTTCAAAGAAGGTATGAAAGATATGAATTTTAGGATCCAAACCAGTTATCTTACCCTAGAACAGAGTTTGGGAAACTATGGCTTGAGAGCCAAATCCAGCCCTCATCTGACTTTATAAATAGAGATTTATGGGAACTCAGCCACATCTACTGGTTTGTATATTGTCTTTGGCAGCCTTCTCACTCTAGAGGCAGAGATAAATAGTTGCAATGGAAATACTATGGCCCCCAGAATATGTACCATCTGGTACTTCACAGAAAATTTGCCAATTCCTACTGTAGAATCCTAGAATCCTCAAACTGAAAAGGAGATCTAAGAATGGAAACAATACTATCCAAACTAACCTATGCTTCTTTTATTAGGTGTTTGAAATGATCATTAATCCTGGAGATAATGTCCTCCTAAATGAACCTGTTTATTCAGGAACACTTCAAGCTGTGAGTACACATATTTATAAAATGCAGCTCTCTTTTAATAAAAACATTACACCTTTAAAATTCTCTGTCTATGGAAAAAGAAAATAGTACCTTCCATCTGTAAATAGGAGAATCTTAAATGATGTTTGCAAAATATGTTAAATGTACCCTCTGCTTTATACATTTCTTTTTATAAAATCTAAAAGTGTAGGTGCTGAAATTAAGCTGTGAGAAATAACATCCAGCTTTCTTAATATTTCATGTGACATGCAACTTCATTTACAAAAAACTTAACTTTTTCTTTACTTTTGTTACCATACGTCTAAGTATAGTCATGTTATATGTCAATTTAATATAACTGTAAGCCAATATGGTGTAATTAGGACTTTCCACTCCAGTGTTAAATTAATGGGACTATAATGTCCAGAAGGAGGAAGCTGGTCATCCAGCTTTGCTATGCCCTAGTGAGAACACACCACTGACAAGTAGGATTTTCTGGGGCACAATACTTTAGGGTAGCCATGGACTGATTTGTGCAGGTCCTTAGGTTCATAGGCCTGGAACCAAAGGGTGAGAACTACAGGGAAGCTATTTCAACTCAATATAAGAACTTCCTAGCCATGAGCCTTTACCTGACTCCTGACTCCCTAAGGAAGGAAAGCACTACCCATCACTTCAGGTGCCCAGAGTTACTCTCAGTTGTCATCTAACACCTAGCTTAAAGTATGGGAGTGAATGAGGTGACCTTTATGCTCTGCTGATTCTAACTTCACAGATTCTCTTTTTTTGGTCAAGTTTAATATTATCTTAAATAATTAATATAGAAAGCTATTAGCTAGTCTTAATGAAAGGCAGACTTTCTCAAAACTCCTAAGTAGAGATGAAATTGATACTATAAAAAAATGCTTTTCCAAGTGAACAATCTGAAAAGGAAATTAAGAAAGCAATTCCATTTATAATAACAGCCAAAAGAATAAAATATCTGAGATTAAATCTAAGGAAGGAGGTAAAAGAGTTGTACATTAAAAACATAAAACACTGCTCAAAGAAATTGAAGAAGACCCAAATAAATGGGAAAACATCACCTGTCCATCAATTGGAAGACTTACTATTGTTTAGATATCAATACTACCAAAGCAAACTACAGATTCAAAACAATACCTATCAAATTCCGGTAGACTTTTTTGCAGAAATAGAAAAGCCAGTTGTCAAATTCATATGGGACTGGAAGGAATCCAAATAGCCAAAACAATCTTGAAAAAGAACAACAAAGTTGGAGGACTCCCACTTCCTAATTTCAAAGCCAGCTTCAAAGCTATACTAATCAAAACAGTGTGGTACTGGTACAAGGATAGACATATAGACCAGTGGAATAGAATTGAGAGTCCAGAAATAAACCCACACATCCGTGGTCATTTTATTTCGACAAGGGTACCAGAACTATTCAGTACAGAAAAAGTAATCTCTTCAACATAAGGTTCTGGGACAACTGGATTTTCACATGCAAAAGAAAGAAATTAGACCCTTGGACCGTATAAAAGTTTAACTCAAAATGGATCAAAGACCTGAATGTAAGAGCTAAAACTATAAAAGCTTAGAGGAAAACATAAAGGCAAATCTTCCTGACCTTGAATATGGCACTAAATTCTTAGATATGGCACCAAAAACACAGGCAAAAAGAACAAAAAATAGATCTATTGGACTTCATCAAAAATTAAAAACTTGTGTGCCATGAAGAACATTATGAAGAAAGTGAAAAGACATCCTACAGAATGGGAGAGAATACTTGCAAGTCATATATCTGATAAGGATTTAATATCCAGAATATATAAAGACCTCCTACAACTCAATAACAATAACAACAATATAAGAACCTATTTTAAAAATGGACAAAAGTCTTGAATAGACATGTCTCCAAAGAAGATATTCAAGTTGCTAGTGAGCACAGAAAAGATGCTCAACGTCATCATTAGTCATTAGAGAACTGCAAATCAAAAACACAGTGAGATACTGCCTTAAATCTACTAGTACAGCTACTTCTTTCATGCAACATAACAAGTGTTACTGAATCTGGTGTTGCTGGTGGAAATGTAAAGTGGTACATCCACAGTGGAAAAACAGTTTGTCAGTTCCTCAAAATATTAAACTTAGAATTACCATCTGACTCACTAGTTCAACTCCAAGTATATACCCAAAAAGAACTGAGAACTGGAGCTCAAACAGATAATTGTACACAAATGTTCATTGCGGCATTATTCATAATAGCCAAAAGGTAGGAGCAACTCAAATGTACATCAACAGGTGAGTGAATAAACAAACTGTGGCATATACATATGATGGAATATTATTCGGCCATGAAAAGGAACAAAGTTTTAACACACACTTCAACATGGGTGAACTTTGAAAACATTACACCAACTGAAAGCAGCCAGACACAATACAACAAATACCGTATTACTCCATGTATTTGTTTCTTATATCTAAAATAGGCAGAGTCACAGAGATGTCAGTAAGTTAGAGGTTACCGGGGCCCAGAGACAGGGGAGAATGGGGAGTTACTGCTTAACGGGTTTCTGTTTGGTGAAGAGAAGTTTTGGAAATCAGTAGTGATGATGTATGCACACATTGTGAATGTGATTAATGCCATGAACTGTACACTTAAAAATGTCAAAATTTGAAGGGTGCCTGAGTGGCTCAGTTGGTTAAGCGTCTGCCTTTGGTCATGATCCTGGGATCCTGGGATCAAGCCCTGTGTGGGGCTCCCTGCTCAGCACTCAGCAGGGAGTCTGCTTCTCCCGCCCTCTCTCCCCCCAACCCATGCTCTCTCTCAAATAAAATCTTTTAAGAAGAAAGCAAAATTTTTGTCATATCTATTTGCCACAAAAAAAAAAACTAAAGTAAAATAATTGCTTTTTCTTGATTGGATACTAATTTCAATCTGATACTAATTACTTTACTAAACTCTTTAATGCCTATGAACCTGAAACCAGTGTCTGTGTCATCAACATCACGCATGCACGCACAGATGTTTCCACATACCCAGACAGAAACTGTGTGCCAGGCTATGAGGAGATTTGCTAGTAAGGAACATGTGTTTATTTCATGGCCCAATATTACTTTGTTTAATCATGGTAGATGTGTTTCCTCAGCCTAAGAACTTTTAACTTTGTCAGAAAGTTGTATGGATTATTCCTACTTAGTACATATTTCCACATTTGACTGCTAAAAGAGTGCTTACCTTTGAAAAATTTTTCTTCTGAGAACCACACTCAAATTATTATTTCTAAAGTTCCATTTTTTTCTTTATGTTCATCTAAGAATAAGATTCCACAAGATTTTTATAAAGTTATGTCTATAAGCAAGGCCACTCCTTGTGATTTCAGGCTTAGCCTTTGGTAAATACAAAATACTTCCATACACCTTGGTAAGCTGCTGCCCTGTTCCCCTCTGTGCCCATCACCACCCTGGCTTCCCTGGCCCCACTCCTAAGACCACCCAGAACTTCCCATGATACGGAATTAATGCAGGGGCCCCCAAGACTCTCTTCCAGTCAGGTACTGTTTCTGATGTGCCTGTGCTGTATCACCTGTTAAATATTTTGAATATCACCTCTGCTTGTAACTATTTTAGGTATTAACATAAAAGATGCTTTCTATGTTTAACGTTGTCCAAAAAAAAAAAATTGTTAATACACATCTCTTTTGGAACCAGTTCTGATCATAATTCTAATGATAATTCAGTCAGGGGCTAGGTTATCACTATAACAAACCACTCCAGTCTCCATGGCTTATGGCTAGAAAATTTCTTTCTCCCACATTCTACATATTTACCAAAACGCTGCTGCTGCTCTCTTCCACGTCATCTCCATACCAAGCCCCAGGCTGATAGAAGCAACCTCTGACTGGAGCATTGCCGGTCTTAGAGCAAAGGGAAAAGGGAACAGAGAACCACAAGCTGGATTTTAAAACTTCTGCTTGGACGAAACACACATCCCTTCAGCTTACAGTTTACTGGCCAAAGCAAGACATATGGCCAATCCTGACATACGAGCAAGGAAGTATGGGAACTGATGGGGGATATTTTTGAACAATAATGGAATCTATCCCAGGGCAACAATGAAATGAGACTATACCACCTCAAGCCTTTGAGTGTAGAGATGAGTGCAGGTTTATACATTAAAGGGTATAAATGGTAACATCCTTGGTTATTAGAAGAACCAATGACACATTTTGTAATCATGTCTGAATCTTGGCCTTTTCTTTTTATTCGTGCTCAACAGCTGAAGCCACTGGGCTGCAAAATCATTAATGTTGCCAGTGATGAATATGGGATGATTCCGGACTCCCTCAAAGAAGTACTTTCCAAATGGAAACCGGAGGAGTCAAAGAACCCTAAAAAAAACACCCCCAAATGTCTTTACACTGTCCCAAATGGTAACAACCCTACTGGAAACTCATTAACAAGTAAACGCAAGAAGGAAATCTATGAGGTATTTTAAAAGAATACGTTCTATGGGTATGTCCCTATTTATTTTTGACCTTTGAGAAGAGTACTGTGCAAGCTTCATTTCTTGTTTCTTATTATTACAAGGAAGATAATTTTTAATATAAAAAGAAGTCATCTATGCCTGAGGGTCCTAATAAATTGGAACACAAGAAATTACTCCATCCTTGGCTAACTATGAGATTTTTCTTTTCCCTTAATTGATACTTTCATTAAAAAGAAATAGCATTTTTGACCTACTGTTTAAATTTTATGAGTTTATGTAATCAAACCCCAAGTTTGATTTTCATTATTTTATTTTTATATTTTCCTCCTCTCTCTTCTCTTTCCTACTCCTTAGCATTTTAGGTTACAAAGAAATTTTTTAAAAATAAGAGGCATGCTCTTTTGTCAAGTCTCTTTTAGGTATTCTGACTATGATGTCTAAACTTTTCATAGCAAACATTTTTTTTTAAATATCAAACACATACCTAGCAGTACAAAAATCTTTGAAAAATAAATTTGTCTTTAGTAAAGTCTCTTTTATGTACCTTACTGTGCTCCCTAAACTTTTGCTACTGATAGCTTTTTAATATAAGTACCAAAGCCATATTAAACTTTATAGAATGTGCAGTAGAATCATAAAGGAAGATTTCAAATAGCTTCTTTCACTCATTTTTGTGTGTCTGTGTGTGTCAAAATATTGTCTTATTTTTCACATACTCCAGAGTTCTGTCCTGCGTTCTCCTCTTATTTACATATTACCCCCAGATAGTCTCATCCATTTCTATGGCTATAAATTCCATTCTAAATAATAGGAATGCCTTTCCCCTGAACTCCAGGCTTCTGTATCCAACTTCTCCATCCAGCTTCTGTTTCCAGCATCTGCCATGAATGTCTAATAGACATTTCCAACCTACCATGACCAAATAGAACTCTCGATTTAGTCCAGCCGCACCCAATCTCCAATCCCAACCCCTCACATTCCCCATCTCTGTAAATAGTGCTACTATGAACAGTGACCCTTTATTCCTCTCTTTCTCTTCTCTCCCCCCACCACCCCCTACATCTAATCCATCTTGTGGACTCCACTACCAAATGGATCCAAATCTACCTGTTTCTCTCTTTTTGCCCTTACTACCATGGTCTTCCCAACCACCACCTTCCTTCACTGGGCTATGAGGATAGTTTCCTCATTGGACCCCGGCTTCACTCCATTCTCCATCTCCAGCCAGTCATTCTTCACAAGCAGCCAGTCACATCCTTCCCCACCTCCCCCCAAATATAAAGGTAAAGACAGTGTTGTGGTCCTGTTTACAATCCTCTAGTGGATTCCCTTTGCAGTTAAAATAAAACCAAATTCCTTCATCTGCTCCACAAAGCTATGTGATTTGGTAGTCTAATCTCAGACCCTGTCATCTCTTATCTTATCGTCCTTCTTGCTGAAGGCCACTTTGTCCTTCTGAGCTCTTGTGTTATCTTGTCAGGAAGGGCTTCCCAATGATTCAGACTGAAACAGCTACCCAATCTCTCTCTCTCTCTCTCTCTCTCTCTCTCTCTCACACACACACACACACACACACACACACACACATCACCCTGTTTATCACCCTTCCTAGCCCCTAAAACCTCCTGTGTAGTATTTCTTCTCTTCATTGTCCATTGGCTTATGTATATTGTCTTTCCCAGAACCTTGAATTTAAGTTCCGTGAGAAGAGCCTTCAGTGAGTGCCTCCTTCATCTCTTTATCTTCATTGTCTAGGACAAAAGGCGCTCAGTAGCTTCTTGAATGAGTGAATGAGTGATTGAATGAATGAATGAATGAATACAAAGAATTATGATTCCAAGTGATTTTCAGATTAGATTGTTCTTAAGAATTAAATATACTACTTCAACCTTTTTTAGCTTGCAAGAAAATATGATTTCCTCATCATAGAAGATGATCCTTACTATTTTCTCCAGTTCAGCAAGGTAAGTGATGATGTGAATTTATTTCACAATTAGAAGATAAACATGTAAGTTATTACATTGACTTGACTTTAGCCTGGTTTTGAAGTGGGAGCTAATCTATGTTTACATTGAAATTAAGTAAAATTATTAATAATTTGCTACCACTCCAATCTTTAGTCTTTCAGTTTTATCATGGAATTAATACTTGTCATGTCTGGTATTACTGCCCTTTCCAGAAACGACTTACCTTTAAAATAGTAGCTAGTGCTCTATACCATGCATTTGGGCAAACAGAGTGTCAGGGCTGATGGTCTTCTCAAACTCCAGATCCTAGTGCATGGTTTTTTAAACATCATACCAGGGATGTGAAGTAGGTTCCATTTTGGGAACTACAGTCTCTTGGCAGTGGCTGACTGGAATGATGTCTGACAAGGATCTAAAGGAGAAAGATGGTCGAGCTCAACTAGAGTGTCCATTAAGGACACAGGGGAATGCGTTACCGGCAGAATGCCATGTATTTAGCATCTCTGTCACCGAAGGCCTGGATCTTACCTGCAGAATAATGGATTTTTAGGTTCTTTTTCACTATATATGCCACTTTTCATGATCTCAGTCTCCTAATAGACAGCAGTAGTGTCACAGACTCCCACTGATATCTTCAAAATCAGACATTGTCTTTATTTGCTCTCAGGGCTGCAGAGAACATCTGCTTGGATTCAGTGCTCCCTTTAAATCTACCGAAAAAGAACAAAAACCCTTGATTTTTCTGTATAGTTTGCCGACTATCCCGTCTACCTACCTACTCCCTACCCTCCACATGACCTGGCCTCTTTTGCTGTGTGCATCCACTTTTGAAGTAAATACTCAAGTCCATATTGCAGATTGACTACATTTCTCATCTTGTTTTATCTTTCTAGCTGTTCTAAGGATCATCATTGTCTCTTGAAGGAACCCTGAATGCTGCTGGCCCTCTTCATTTTGATCTAATCGAAACGAGTTTTTCTTGAATCCTTCCTCTAAATCTGTTAATCCTGGATCTCAACCTTTGAGCCTCAGAGGGCCTATTTGAGGTTTCCCTAAATTCATACTAATAACATCTTAAGCAAATGAGTAAACTCTTCTTTGTTTTTGGCAGAAAAGCGGCGAAGCTAAGCATGTACTTACTAAAAAGCATGCATCTCGGTTTCTTATTCCATTTTAAAGGTTGAGACTAAGGTAACAGAAAAGATGGTTGTGTTACTGCTATCAGAATCTACACCCTCTCCGTTCCCTACACAAAATAATTACACAGTCACTTAACAGAGTTCTCAAACAAACAATATGTATTTTTTCCATTTCAAGCCCCGGGCACCAACATTTCTTTCCATGGATGTTGATGGGCGTGTCATCAGAACAGACTCCTTTTCAAAAGTCCTCTCCTCTGGGTAAGGCTTTGTGTCTTAATTTATGGCCAGATCTAAAAAAGATAGACTATACCTGAGTGTCTTTTAGTCCAAATATTTCTCATTTAAGATGCTAGTATTCCTACTTACTTTAAAATATCAGTTTTGTTATTAATTTTAATATATGCCTTTTCTTTCTTTATCCATCTGCAGTAATCACAGGTATTTGGGTGTTAATCTAAAGTTGTAGTGGGATTGGTCAGGTTTTGAGTTTCATATATAAAAGAACACATTTCAAAATAGTTGGTCAGACTTATATTCCATTTTAAATGTACACTTAAATTTGGATTTTAAATAACAAGTAACTAGTTTTATTAGAATGTTTTAATTGTCTAGGCCCATTTGTCCCCAGGTCACAACTGTCTTCCTAATGAAATCAGTAAAGTGACATGTATTAATTGTTAACACAGAATTCGTCTTGTGCCTTTTCTCTTTTTGTGTAGGTTGAGAATAGGGTTTGTAACTGGTCCAAAATCCTTGATAGAGAGAGTTGTTTTTCACACACAAGTCTCAACCATGCACCCCAGCACTTTTACACAGGTAAGGACAATGTCAGAAATAGGAGGGTTTGGGTTTCTTTTTTTTTTTTTAAGCAATCAGAATAGAAAATAGATGTTAGCAAGTAAGACTGAGTAAAGGTGGCAGGGAGAGAAATCACTGATACAGAATCTTGTGTTCCGATATGGACTGTATTAGAAGATAAAATACCACAGATGTTTACTCTAAAAGGCAGATGAGATGGGGCACCTGGGTGGCTCAGGGGGTTAAAGCCTCTGCCTTTGGCTCAGGTCATGATCCCAGGGTCCTGGGATGGAGGCCCGCATCGGGCTCTCTGCTCAGTGGGGAGCCTGCTTCCCCCCCACCCTCTGCCTGCCTCTCTGCCTACCTGTGATCTCCATCTGTCAAATAAATAAACTCTTAAAAAAAAAAAGGCAGATGAGAATTGAATTAACCTACTGTTACTTTGTAGCATAAAGATGTCCCCATGTCTCATCAATTTAGGGTTTTTTTCCCATATTTTTTGTGCCTGTTATCAACAAAACTTCACTATCCATCTGTAGTATTTAGAACTTCCATTTTATGTAGAAAAATCACTGAAAATGTTACACAACACGTATCTACTATGTATTTTTTAACAAATTTAGAGAAGCGATATAGTATGGCAACTAATAGCATGGATCTGGAGCTAGACAGTCTGACTTGAATCCAGGTTCTGTCTCTCACTAACTCTGTGACCTTGGGAAAGTTCATTTAACCCTTGTACCTTGGTTTCCTCATCAGTAAAATAGAAATAATAGCCTAATAAGGTTATTACAAAAATTAAATTAAAATGTATTAATATATTATAGTAGTTTCTGGCCCATAGCAAGTATTACATAAATATTTATTATTTTATTGTCACTGTTATTAATTAACATTTATAATAAATCACTGTGTAAATCTTGGTTCAGTCTGTTATATTTTCTTGTGGTTTACAGGTAATCAATTTGCTTTTTATATTTAGCAAAAAAAAAAAAAACATTTAGAGGCCAAACTATAACATTTGTTATTGTCTTATCTCTTTTAGCTTCTGATCTCACAGCTTCTACACCAGTGGGGAGAAGAGGGTTTCCTGGCTCATGTAGATAGGTATTGCATGTTAGCTTCCATATTTTACATAGATACTGGCTTCCCTGTATTAATTTTCATTAGAATTATTCCAAAATGAAGGAAAAAAATGCAATGGTAAAAATTTTGCCACCAAACAGGTCAAATAAACATGCTCTATTCATTTTTCAAGCATTCAATGTTTTAATCATGATAGAAAACAGATTCTTATAGACTAAGCTCCAGAGCCTTCTGGTGTCTTCAGTCAGTGAACTAAACACATGCTTTTCATTGTTTCCTTCTTCTAGGGTTGCTGAGTTCTATAAGAACCAGAAGGATGCAATAGTGGCAGCTGCAAACAAATGGTTAAGTGGTGAGTGGAATATCCATCCTGCCCTGTGATAGACACAAGCACTTTGACGAGTGGGGGGTAAACACTGCATAGTTATTGTTAATAATCTTGGGAGAAGAGAAACAAGTGTGCAGGAGTATTCTTGTCAAGTACTGTCACCCTATAAGCAATCTCAGAAGTAATAGTCTGCAAACCCTGTCACTGTTCTGCCTATCTCTACTTTACCTGTCTGCTGCAAAGAATTTGTGGCTTAAAGGGGGGGAAAAAGAACTTTTAGTCTAAAAATCAGCTAGCAATAACTTAAAGCTAAATGATGGCTATACTCAAAGGTTTTAGAGTTACTTCAAATTTTCCCCCAAACAGCAGAGGAATTGTCAAACAATTTTCTAAGACTGTATTAAAACCAAAATAGTATAACCTAAGGCAGTTCTCTCATTATAAATTATTTGCATTCAAATCGTTCATGTCATTTATCTGTCTAATAGTATTTATTGCTAATTTGATTGCAGGATGGTTTAGATTTAATTTTCTATTAATGAATTATGTACTTTTTTAAGATTTTATTTATTTATTTGACAGAGAGAGAGATCACAAGTAGGCAGAGCAGCAGCCAGAGAGAGAGGGGAAGCAGGCCTCCTGATGAGCAGAGAGCCTGATGTGGGGCTCAATCCCAGGACCCTGAGATCATGACCCGGGCTAAAGGTAGAGACTTAACCCACTGAGCCACCCAAGCACCCCAATGTGGTTTTAATTATATCATTAAAAAAAGCTTTTGGTGTGAATAATAGTAAACAAAAAATCAGTTCCTTATTTCTGTCATATCTTATTCCCTATAAATTCCTGGTAAATAGAGAATTACCTTTTTAATAAGAGTACTATTCTACCACTTTGTACAATGGCATTAAAGATGAAGTTCTAGGAGCATCTGGGTGGCTTAGGCAGTTAAGCATCTGCCTTCTGCTCAGGTCATGATCCCAGGGTCCTGGGATTGAACCCCTGTGTCAGGCTCTCTGCTCAGTGGGGAGCCTGCTTCTCACTCTGCCTCTGCCTAATGCTACCCCTGTTGTGTTCCCTGTCTCTCTATGTCAAATAAATAAAATCTTAAAAAAAAAAAAAAAAGAACAGGTTCTAATCAAAAGCAAGTTTTAAAATAATTGTCCTTCCTTCTTGGTTTCTCTATCCTAATACTCAGTGAAAGAGAAAGCCTATAAATACTTCTGGAATGATTGCATTTTAAGTACTTCTTTTCATAGTCAATTACATTCTGATAAAAACTTTAATCCATCAGACTTCAAAACTATTGTATAAATGACGGAATTTATTTAAGCACTGGAAAAATCTAGAAGGAATCGAAGAATCTTCTATAATTGAAAGAGCTATAGTTGGCTTCAGTATGGTTCTAACTAAGGGAAGTAGACAAAGGCCTTAGAGTCCTTTGCACTACCCTAAGACTGACTAAATTGGAACTATATACATGAGTCTCCCTCTCTCCCTTCATCCCAGTCTCCTTTTTAAAAAAAAAAAAAAAAAATCGTGTGTATTTATTTGATGGAGAAAGAGACATCTAGAGAGGGAACACAAGCCAGGGTAGAGGGAGAGGAAGAATCAGACTCCCCGATGAGCAGGGAGCCAGGTGTGGGACTGATCCCTGGACCCTGGGATCACGACCTGGGCTAAAAGCAGACACTTAACTGACTGAGCCACCCAGTCACCCCTAGTCTCTTATTTTTGAAATAAACTCAGAACTTCAATTTTCAGGACTCATTAAATTCTATGTTTTAAAAATGCTATCCCCAAAGGAACATTTTTGGACATACTAGTTGACAGTTACTACAATTATGCATTAATTGATATATTTTATATCATTTAAAGTGGTTTTAGCATTTATTTATTCTCTTTTTTGCTTTGTAGGTTTGGCAGAATGGAATGTTCCTACTGCTGGAATGTTTTTATGGATTAAAATTAAGGGCATTTCTGATGTAAAACAACTGATTGAAGAAAAAGCCATTAAGAAAGAAGTAAGGGGGGGGTTATGCTTTTTCTTTAAAGTGATTTTTCACTTAAAATAAAAATGAAGAGAGATATTTATCATTGCCTTCTATCCCAACCCATAATATTTTAATATCAGATGTTACTTCATATTTCTATATCTTATATTTCTAATATTGTCTCATTGTTAAAATCAAAATAGATTTTTGAGGTATATAATTCTTCTTCTGGTCTACATTAATGGAAATATAGTCATTCATCTGAGCTACTGCTTAGTTTAGTGGCTAAGAGCAGAGGGTTTTTTCCTCTGATTTAAGTAAGTAAAGCATGCTAGCAAACTTGGAAAATTCATGACAGTATAATGAAAAATGTTTAAGTAGCCCATTATTTCACCACCCCAATTTTGTGACCATTTGTGGTATATTTTCTTGAAGAGCTTGTCTATATGTAGTATTTTGGCTGTGCAGTTATTTTCCATGGTTAAAATTACACAGAAAAGTTTGTATCCTGTTATTTTCACTTAAAATTGGGTTGTAAGGATTTCTTCTAGGCTTTTCTTTCTCTCCTTTTGTACTTAAATATACTTAGTTATTCAGAGGCATTGACTAATGTGGAAAATCTAAATATTTTTCCATGTAGCTGTCCAATTGACCTAACAGAGTATCATTTCTCCATGAATTAATGCTTTTGTCATGTTTGCCAGTCTTATGTAAACTAAGATATGTTTCTAGGATCCCTTTTGTTTTGAAAAGTAAGTATAAGCAAACAGATTGTGTTGACACTGGCGCAGGACCGTGCTACTGCGTAAGAGATGAGGTAGTGTGGATGCTAGAAAATTTATGGCTAGAGGTCAGACCTGGGACAGGTCTGGGAGCTGACTACCTGGACTTCAAGTCATGCATCCTCTCTAACCATCTTACTTGAGGGCAGGACTCCTGCTTTATTCATTGTTCTAATCCTACTAATTCTATACAGTAGGTACTCAGTAAATACTGACTTATTTCAAAGAAATACATTTTAGCATCATAAATCAGTTCCATGTTTTCTTTGCTTTTCTGTCAGTGCCATTATCATCGGGATTATTCGGTAAGTGGCTATTTGTATGTATCTCTGAGGTAGGTGCTAAGGAAACAGAACTCAAGACTGTCTCATCGTTTTTTCGGTGCTCTCCATCTATCCCATATATCCTGCTGCATTTACCTTTACTTTTTCTAAATAATCTTCAACCTTACAGCTGCAACCTTAGCCCAATTCTGGTCATCTTACAAGGAGATTTTCACTATTCCCACCTTCTCTTACATCTCCTTGCTTGTAATATACACCCCAGAATTTTCCACTATATTGAGAGAAATGATGATTTTCATTTGATTGTTAATCAAGACAGAAGCCTATCTTCTGCCTTGAAATCTCTTCCCCAGAATGCCCCAAACCATTTCACTCCCTAGTCACCTTACTCTAGTAGACAGTGTGCAAATGGACACTACATAACAACAGTGAATGCTCTCGGAGTGCGTGATTGTACTACATAATAATCTCAAAGACCTACCACACCTGATGTTTATTTCTGACTCACATAAAACTTTACAAGATGTGACCTTCAGCCACCTCTGCTCCAACCAGTGATTCAGAGACGGTGATTCTTTCCTTTTTGCTGCTCTTCAGTCTTCAGTGCATGGATTCCACAATGGCTGTAAAATGGAAAAAGTGTGATGGATCACACGGGGGATGATTTTGCTGGGCAAGGCCTAGAAGTGGCATGCATCACTTCACATCCATGGGCTAGGATTCGATCATGTGGCCACACATAACAAGAAAGAAGCTGGACAACAGAATATATTTGTGCACCAGGAAACAGAGAGAATGGAGTTCGCAGTTGCTGAGCCATGCGCCACGGTGCTCACGTCAAGAATACCAGTTGTTCCCACTACTCAGTCTTGACATACTTAGTCACATTTTTAGTCATTCATTCTATGTATTTAAATTCTTACCTCCTTTCAGTTCTTCACCTGGACCAGTTTTCTTCCCATCTCAAGGCCTTTACACTCTCCTTTCCCTAAAATACTCTTCACCCATTTTTTGCCCTGCCAACACCTACTTATCATCCAAGTCCCCACTTAAAAGCCACTTCCAAATTCGATAACTTAAAAATGGTCTCTCATTATTTGAATTTATGTTACTTTCCTAGTTGGTTTACCATTTATTCATGTTTATTACCATTTCTATTTCTTTTATAAGCTGTCCTTTGCCCATCAAAGCTAGAATTTTTGTGTCTTTCTTCTCAGTTTCTGTATATTCTTTAGATGGAGAAGAGGGAGAATTTGCCATATTTATTATAAACATTTTTCCAGATTCTGTGCTTTTGTTTAGTTTTGTTTAATGTAGGACATACAGATTTTTTATATAAAATGATTTCTCTTGTGATTTTTTAAATTGTTTTTAAATGTAAAAAGTCTTTCACCTCTCTGAGATTTGATCTACCTATATATTCTTTTAGTAATTCACTTATTTTCCATAAACTCTCCTAGATATTAATGCTTCCTGGAAATGTTTTCTACGTCGATAGCTCAGCTCCTAGCCCTTACTTTAGAGCATCCTTCTCTTCAGCTTCTCCAGAAGAGATGGATGTGGTGAGTACAATATTCTCTTCAGAGTAACAGTAGATATCAATTCTGGTTTTTGGTGCATGTGTTCCTTTTGTGAGTTACAACATTATCTAATGTCCTTTTGGGTTTCTGAAAAACAGGTATCACTTGAAAATTCATGAATTACTATTAAAAGACACACTTTAATGGCAGCAAATAGACAAAGGCATGAGACCAAGTTGGAGTTAAATTTCATCATCTTCATGAACTGTTTTCAGACTTGCTGAACCATGCTGGCAGATTACTAACAAGTTATGAAGAAAACTTCTTTCCTCCCTTCATGGAATTAGTCTGAGCTAAATTCATCACACATTCATAAAAGCCATTAGTCCCTTTCTATGAAGAAAAATTTATCAGCAAGAGTCAAATACAATAATATACTTAACTTAATTACAAGTCTGGGTTTAGCCAAAATAAGAAGCAAAGAAACGAGTTCTTAAGGACTGAATGTCTGGGAGTCTAAATAGAAGAAGCATAAATTGAACAGTGCCATTAACCTTGAGAAGAGTCTACTTGCCCTTGCAGATGGATTGGTTCTTCATGTTCTCTATTTATTTGTTTTCTCATATCATTAAATATGCTTTTCATAAGTTATCTCTGCTTTTATATATGAATAAAGTTGATATAGAATGCGTATGCAGGTGAGAGATTATATGAAAAAATAATTTGTGTTGCGGGGAAAATGGAAAACAATGATTTTTTTTAAAAGATTTTATTTATTTGACAGACAAAGATCACAAGTAGGCAGAGAGACAGGCAGAGAGAGAGGGGGAAGCACACTCCCTGCTGAGCAGAGAGCCCGATGTGGGGCTCGATCCCAGGACCCTGGGATCATGACCCAAGCCGAAAGCAGAGGCTTTAACCTACTGAGCCACCCAGGCGCTCTGGAAAATAATGATCTTGATGGCTGTAAGAACAAACAAAAATCCTGGGAATCTGATATGCTTATCTCTATATAAATTAGTGGACATTGATGGCATCCCACCCAGATAAACCTGATGTTAAATTTGACTTTTCATTGCCTTATCCCAACTGAAGATGAATACTCTTCATTTGAATTTTTTAAATTATCACAGACTTTTCCTAAGTAGCATCCTAATTTCATTAATTCTTATCTCTTTTCTATTTCAGGCCTTCCAGAGATTAGCTCAACTTATTAAAGAATCTTTATGAAGAAATCAAACTCTATGAAGAAATCAAAATGTTTCATGGATTTTTCAGATAAATTTTTTAGCTTTTAGCAAGAAGAAATCATTGGCTTTACACTTACAGACTGGATTTCAAGAAGCATGTCAAATCTGCAATAATTTAACTAGACAACTTTTAAGGTGCCCTTAAATTCATCAGATTGACAAAATATTTTTATAATCGACTTATACCTTTTGATAAATTTTCATCCTGCAAAAATTATTCTTATCCTGGATTTTACTGTAAAGAATTCTAGTTGCTTTATGCTTTCTCATAAATCTTCCTTGAAACTAACATTTTATAATAAATTATTTTGAAAATGTAAGAAAATAAATTCAAAATGGTATATAATGTGGACTTTTTCTATTTTTAGGAAGGTTTAATGAAAGCTAATTATAAAAATTGTTAGAATTTGATTATAAATGATTTTCAGTTAAGAGTACCACAGACATTATATTGTGCCATAGAAATCCCTTTAAAATAAAATTCTGAAACTAAGCACAGCTAAAGGCATCAGACCTATTAATTCTAAATAAGGAAGAGAGATCAGAGACTTAAAACACTTTGCTACAACACTTTGAGGTACTTAGGCTATACTTTTTTTTTTTTAGGCTATACTTTGTAATGATTTTCTTTCTCACCTTTTCAGATCTTTATTTTTCCCATCTAATTGTTAAAGCAATATATGCTCATTAAAAATTTTTCGAACATAGAGCATAAGTGATAAGTAAATGCCAATTGTTATCTCACCCCCAGTGATGTATCTGCTGTCAGCATTTAGCCTCCATGCTTGTAGATGTTTTTCTATATGTGTGCATGTTATATGTAAAAGAATGGGATTTCATTACAACAGGGTATCATAAATACCCCGTATTTGCTTTCTATTGCTGTGTAACAAACTACGGCAGTGTTCCAAGATCCAGTAATTATAAAGTCGTAAGTTTCTTTAAGGAATTAGGAAGTCATTTAGGACTTCCTTTGTGTATACCGGCATACCCCAGAGATGTTGTGGGTTTGTTTCCAGACCACTGCAAAAACAGCAAATACCACTATAAGGCAAGTCAAGTGAACTTTTTCATTTCCCAGATGCATGTACAAGTTAGGTTTACACTATACTGTAGTCTCTTGCATGTTCATAGCATTATGTCTAAAAAATAATGTACATGCCTTAAAATTTTTTTAATCAAAAATGTATAGGAAAATTTACTAGGAAAGATCATAATTGTAACATTGTTTATAAAAAATTTAAAATAAGTAACCTTGTTTATAATTATTTAGAAATAACAAATATTTCAAACATGCCTTAATTTAAAAATACTTTATTTCCCAACTGATGAATTACTGAATTCTACATCTGAAACTAAGGATGCACTACCTATTGGCTAACTGAATTTAAATAAAACAACAACAACAAAAAATATTTCTAAGAAAAAATGCTAACCGCCATCTGAGCTTTCAGCAAGGAATAATCACGAATCACATATATTAACATAATAATAAGTTTAAAATATTGCAAGAATGACCAAAACAGGACAGAGACATGAAGTGAGCAAATACTGTAGGAAAAACGGTGCTGACAGACTTGTTGGACACAGGGTTGACTGCCATAAGCCTTCTGTGCGCTGAGCGCTATGCAAGTGAAATTCTGCATTTCCAGATGCCCCAGCAGCTACGGTTGCAGGTGTGAGTTAAGTTCTGTCACTCAGACGTCTGGATTCAGAGCGGAGGTTAAGAGGGGAGCAAGTCAAGACGCAAGGTGCCCATCCTGCTGGCATAGCTAAGGTCACAGGGTTTTATCACAAGCAGCTTCTTGGTTTGGGGGTTTCTGATTCCAGCAGAAGTGAAATCCTGGAACTAGAAGTTGTTTTTAGAAGCCCCATTTACTTTTACACCCATTCCAACAATTTTGAAAGCCACAGAACACATAATAAAGACTTCACTTAAACCGGCTAGAGGAGTTCCTGTTATCTGCACCTGAATGCCAACCAGGCCAGGTGCCAGAGTCTCCAAGAGCACCCTCATGCTTCATGGTCCCTAAAAGGACCCAGAGGATCCAGAAGTTGTTGTATTCCTAGTTGCCATTTATTGCAGCAAAAAGGATAGAGTAAAATCTCCAAGGGAAAAGGTACATGGGACAAAGCCTGGAGGAAGGCAGGCAGGAGCCTCTAAGAGTCCCCTCCTAGAGGAATCACATGAGATACTCCTTCAGCAATGATGTGTGACAAGTGCAAAGTGTGGTCAATGAGCCTCGTTGCCCAGGGTTTTTATGGGTGTGTGTGTGGGGGGGGGTCAGTCACATAGTCATACAGTGTCTGCATAATGGACCTCCCTTACTAATAAGCACCCACGGGGGAAAAATCAAGTGTTTGCTATAAATCACATTGCTAGTGTAAACTATCTAGAAAAACGTTTACCGCCTGGCTCAAGACCCCAGACATGCAAAAAACTCATCAGTGAGAATATTCCAAGAGCTCAGTTTCCATGAGCCTGTCAAGGGCCAGTCACAAAAAAACAGCCTTTTCTTGGGAATGTGCCTTGTTTGAGTGACTCAAAGCAACTGACTTAACCCTTTCCCACCAACCAGGAACCCCACTTATGGACACTTAAAGAATTACTCAAAATATGGAAGAAAGTAAAAAAATATGAAGATAGTAATTATAATTTAAAACGGCAAAAAGCCAGGAGTAGAGGAAGAGGTTTTGTGACTGAAGGTCTCAGGATAAGAAAACAGTTATGTCAATTGTGGTTCATCTGCTTAACCAAGTTCTAGGCAGTCACTAAAACATGATTTTGAAGCAGTATCAATCATTTTGTGAAGAATTAGGGTAAAATAATTATATATAATATGGAAAGAAAATTCAGGATATGAAAGTGTCTGTATGCTCTAACTGGGAAGACATCTACCAAAAAAGCAACAACCGGGTAACTTTTTTTTTTTTATTTTCAAATATTCTGTAGCATAGCTCTTTACTTTATAATTAAAAAAAATAATTTTTAATACCTCAAGCAAACTACCACAGGTTTTTGGTTTGCTTGTTTGTTTTTTTTGTTTGTTTCAGTTAGATAAGCATTTCTAAAGGCAATGGTAAAAAGATCTAGGGACACAAGGAGGGAAATCAAAGTTATATCCATACCACCATAGTCAATTTGGATCTGGTCAAAAATTACATAGGTTTAATTTCCAAGTATTAGTCTATGGAACTTCTATGTGGAAACCATGGTATCACCAAACACGGTCCACAATGAACAGAAGTGGCTGGAACACTGGGTCTGGGTGGTAATTCAATATGTATTTCAAGTGGGCCTAAAATGGGAGTTGTCACTTGGTATGGTTTCCTTTTGATTTAAATTTGAATATTCATCAACTTTAGCAATTTCCTCTCCTCCATCTAAGAAAGTCCTTAATGTTTTCCATATAATATTTGTTCAGCATGGTTTATGTTCACAGTCCTTTTCTAATGTTAATTAAATCTCTAGTGGAGTAAATTATTAACTTTATCAAATTAGGTTTAATTACATTTTTTGGAGAATCTAAAAGTCTTAATAAAAATCAAATATCAATGAAATTGTAACTGGTGATGCATGTTTATTAAGGTTTTTAAGTTACCTGAAAAAAAAAAAAAAAACAAAACCCACAACTCCTTTCTCCAGAATGGTAATTAGAATAAAACAAATAAAAAAAAAAAAAAAAAAAAAGTATGATAAGCATGTCTTTACAGTTACCCTACTTGTATGCTTTAGGATTTAAAATTTCATTTATTCATTTTATTCATTAGGTGAGCAAATATTCATTGAGTGTATACTTATTCCAGGCATTCAACCTACAGCAGTGAACAAAACACAGAGCCTACTGTTGGGGTAAGAGTTGGTGAGGGAAGATGGACAACACAGAAATTTAGTGATAAAGTACTTTACATAGTGATAAGTGCTTACAGGGTGGAAGGAAAGGTAATGACAGAGTAGAGGTGCTATTTTTAAAAGAGAGCTCAGTGAAGTCCCTGGAACAGGTCACAGTTGAGCAGAAAGCAGACCTCAATGAGGGAATGGGCCAGGCAGCTATCTGTGAAAAGCATTTCATGCAGAGGGAACTGTAGGGTCAAGGCCCTAAGAAGGGACAGTACTTGATTTGTGTGAGGAACTACAAAGACCTCAGAGAGGCTAAAGAGTAAACCAAGGTATATTAGACTGCTCAGCTGCCATGACAAAGTACTGCAGACTGGTGACATAAGAGAAATTGATACTCTCACAATTCTGGAGGCCAAATATCCAAGACTGAGTTGTCAGCTGGGTTGGTTTCTTCTGAGGCTTCTCTCCTTGGCATATAGATGGTCAACTGACCCTAATCCTAACCTTATTTTAGTGGCTCCTAGAGGGACACCCAGAGTCTGACACTCCCCTTGACCCATGCCCTCAACTCAGACACCCCATCAAGATAGGAACAGCACCAGCAGATCAGGCCTGCCATGCCCTTAGGCCCTAACACTAAACCTAGGTTGGGTCTGAGCAATCCATCCCCAGAATCCTGACTCCAAGGCCAAGGGACTGGGGACACTTGAGTAATACCAGAGGACTCAGCATGCCACCCAGAAGGAAACTGTGTCATTTGGAACTCTGGAAGGGATTTAGAACACCAGAAATCTGCATGCCCAACTCTGGCCACCCCCCACATTCAGCTGGCCCATGGACACAAACCTGAAGCCTGACACTCACCCTGAACCTGGCTCTCAACTCAGTCCTCCAGTGAAGATAGAAAGAGCACTTGCAGACTGGGCCTGCCATGCCTCTAGACCCTATTGTTTATCATAGCTTCAGTTCTGAAGCTCCTATCCCCAGAAGGCTGGCATGAACACCCTACAGTTTTGGGACACCTGAGCAATACCCAAGGACTCAGCCTGCTCCCCAGAATGAAACTGTGTCATTTGGAACTCCAGAAAGAATTCAGAGAAGGTGAAATCTAAATGCCCACCTCTGGCCACGCCCACATTCAGTGGCCCCTGAACAGGAACCCAGAGACTGACACCCTGAACTATGCCCTCAACTCAGCTCCATGTAAAGATCCAACAAGTTCTGGCAGACATGGCCTGCCATGCCCCTAGGCCCTTACATTAAACATAGGTTCAGTTCTGAGGGTTCTGTCCCCAGATGCATGTCACACAAGCACCCAGACTGGGGACACCAAAGCAATACCAGATGACTCAGCCTACCACCCAGGGGGGTGGGGGGAACAGGTCATTTGGAGCCCTAGTAAGGATTCACAGGAGGAAAAATG